GTTTTGATCATTCTTTGATTTGTTTGTGCATGCCAAGAGAATTAAGATGAAGATGATAGATATCATAATGGCGATAATTATGATCATTAATTAACACCCGGAACAATAAAAAACTTATCAACATCATGCTTATCAATCTCATCATACAATCTCAGCATAATTTCTTCCGGTCTAAATTAAAGATAATGTTAAGATACAAATTTGATAAATCTATCAGAAAAAATTTAGATACTTCTGTTATAATTTTTTTTAAAGAAAATATAAAATGTTGGCAGAGAATCAAATGGATTAGAAAGAAAATATTTTGGAATATTTTCTAATATTATCAAATCCGTTGTATTAGAATTGATTATTGATACTTTTACCACCATAAACTTTTTAATTTTATCGAATGAATTTTGGCTGAAGAATAAAAATGAGTTGAACTATAGGCATATATAGAAAATTATTCAGATACGATATTGATAGTTGCAATCTGCATTACAATAAAATTTCATTTAATAATAGTAAAATTGATTCGAACTTTAAAATAATCATCTAATATTTGATTGAACAATAATCAATGATAAAAATTTTTGCACAGACTATTTCATTCTTTAATCAAAATATCTGAAGATGCAAATATGTGTACATATAAGTATATATGTACACAGAAAATAATAGAAAATTATCAAAATAGATAAATTTCTCATTTCTATGATTTTCATAAAATAAACGAGTAAAGAATAAAAACTTCTGATATGATAATACTGTTAATTTGAAGTGATAAGCAATAATGATAGTAATTACAACTAAATAAATTATGGCATTCATAAAAACATACACGACTTCTTATTCTCAACGCATAAGAATAGCAAACAAAATTAAAATATTTCGGGCAAGAAAAAAGGAAAATAATTGCGAGAATTGGAAGAGAATTTTTGGCTATTTCCAATAGCAGGCAGTACTTTAAGTGATCTAGTTAATCCAATAGGTAAACAATTTAGGTGAAAAGAAACAAACAAATATTTTAAGCGTATATTTTAAGTTTTTATTTTTAAACATATATTTTTTTTAAACATATTAAAAAAAGTTAAGATGAAATAGTGAAGATCATAGCGAATAGAAATGATCTGATTTATTCAACTGCATATTTAGATCATAATTGTCAGAATTATTTCTATCGAATTTTGTTTTCAAACTCCAATTTAACTTTATTATACCATTTTCATCAAGCATTACCTGATTTCATTATCATTTAATTGATGATTTACACCACCGTTGTATGAACAACGATATTTTACAATACCCATTTGTCAATGTATCGTTAATTATGATTGCTTTGAAATCTACGGAACAAAAAAAGTTATCATTATTCATCACTATTGTGTTATTGTCATCGAAGTTTGGCATGGATAAGATTAGATATCGCTAATCTAAACAATGCGATGTAATTTTTCAAATTTTTATCTCCTTTATTTCTATAAATATTATTTATTTCCGTAATTTCAAATATATTTATTTCAAAAATTTTCTATTTTTAAACCAAACATTAAATATTAATTTTTGTATTTTTAAACATCATATTTTTATTGCTCCTTCAATTTACTTGTTCATGTCAAAATTTCCATCAATTTTTATATTTTGTTAAATATGTATGCTATGACGTTATGAATCATTTTATAGAAAGCTATAATGCCTTCTAAATCCAGTACACTATTTTATGAAAGTGTATCGAAATAATAAATGTAAAAAAATCATTTAATGAAATTTATCACAAAAATTTCAACTGAAATATTTTTAGAAAAATCGATATTTGTTCATTTTTTGAAATAAAAAAATCTAAGCTTCAGCTTACTAAATTTAACCATAAAATGAAGTTTTAAGCACTAAATTAACAAACTTGAACTTAATGAATTATAAATAGTGATGATGATAAAAGATAGTATCACTTCTCGTGAATAGTTCGAAATTGAAAACGATACATTGTTTTAACTTAAAGGCATCAAATTTTATATGCAAATTGTGTTAATTTTAACTTTTTATGCCTGCTACAAATTGGATATTATTTTTCAAAATAATTACTATAATTTTTAAATACTTAATTATACATATATATGATCGCGAATATGAAATTCGGTTATCCAGTAATGATATGATTTTATATGTACAGAACAGGAAATACATCTTTTGTCACAAAAAGTTTAAATTATTACATTAGGTAACTATTCTAGTGATATATAGAAAAGAAATATAACAAAAAAATATCAAAAAATATAATTTTATCATCCAATTATTAAGGCTTATAAAGCGTAAATTAAATTTGTCATTATTCAATTACTAATGTTTGATGGATTAATTAATAATTGTGACTGAAACTGCATCTTAATAATTTCACTAGATTTCAATTTCTTTACATGAAACGATAAGGAAGGAATAAGATACAATGGAGTAAAAGCACCTATGATAATGGTAGTGTGTAATATGTTTAATATCATTAATAACAAATAGCTTTGATTCAAATTAGAAAAATGACACCTTTAATAGATCAAAAATTATTTTTGGAATAATACAGGAATATTATATTCCTGTATTATTAATAGTAGAAATTTTCTTTTTATACAACTAATAAAATATTTCTAATTAATCCATAATAATTAAATATTTAAGAAAAATTAACCGCTAAGCTTTCGAATTTCTAAATTTGAATATGAAGCAATAATAAATTAATTAGAGAATGTGCTACGTAGATGTGTAACTATTTAATTGGAAAAGTTGTTTGATTTGTTGTCATTAGGATATTATTTCACATGTTGCTAATATTAACTGAAAGCTTTTTCTATTTAATGAAAAATCGATTAAGCTCTCGATGTTTCCAGGATAAGCTCTCGATGTTTCCACAAAATGGTCTAATTTAACAAATATAACAACTTAATTTGATCAAATAATGAATATTCAATTTGAAATTGTCAAATTTTGACTCATATTCTTTTGGTTTTAAATTTTAATTATTAAATTTATTATATCAACTATAACCTAAAATTAATATTAATGTGGCTCATAAGATCAAACTAAATTAAATTATATATTGACATAGTTTTTAAACTTTCGAAATTTCTTCCAAGTTGAAATTTGATCAAAACATTAATGCACATTTCTCATTGCATGTTGGAAAGATTATTCAATAATCTTTAAATTCGGATTGCAGCAACATTAATATCATTGATTATATAATAGTTACAAATAACTTTATAAATAAGCTCATCCACCTATCAAATTTCCAATGATAATAAGATGATATGATCATTGGCTGAATAGTTAAAAAAATGATCAGTTCTTTTAGATTTTTATAAAATCGAAAAATGATCATTTCCTCAAATTTTCGTATCGAAACAATTGACCCTTAAGTTTTCAAAGAAAATGTATATCATTTCTTGATCAAATTCTTTTAGATATTTTAGGAAGCAAAAGTCAACTTTATCTGCAATAATTTAAATAATCATATCATTTAATTCACAAATTTTCAGCTCAAAAAATAAAATATATTATGAAAATGATCGACAACAATTTGTTAAAAATGTTGCATATTTTTAATTTAATTGATAAAATTTCAGTTCAAAAATAATATAACTAAGAGCATAATAAAGATCAAACAATCTGTTTCGAACGACTTATACTTTTCTCAACTTAAATTTTCAAAAACTGTCGGCTGTAATTTAAAATATTTCATCTTTCAAATGTTATCATCGCAAATGAAAGCATTAAGATATGACAAGAAATAACATAAATCTATGATAGTAGCAGGTCCCTTCATTATCATGCTTCTTTAAGTGAAAAATAATGAATCATTCATTAGTCCATTTATTTTATCAGATAAAAATAAATTCCAGTCTTGCATTAAATATCTTAAGCTTAACGAATCTAATGATGTATTGGAATTAATGATTACTATAATTTTTAATTACCGAAATTATTTGCTAACATCAACAACAATTTTTGTAAAGAATTATATTTCGCACATAGAAAATGCTCCGATCTTAGGTCATTACTATTTATAAAAAAGTAAACAACATTAAGGATCTGATAGACTAATATTTGAAGAAATTTTTATATCTATTATTAGTCAATCGTGCCATTTTCGAACCAATTTGACCTTAATCTTGATAATGACCTTGCTTAGTTAAAGCTTATTCATAATAATACAAAATTAAATTTACTATTAATTTTTATAATGAAGTTCATATTGCATTGATCTATTTTGTGTATTCATTATTTTTATTTTTTGTTTTCAATTATTGTGAAGATATTTGTATTCTTGGAGTATTTGGAATTTCTCATACCATACTTTTAATTCCACCCGACTCATACCGATCAATCAATAACCCGACTCAAATTAACCTATCAAAAATTAGATTTTGATTATTATTTTAATTTCATATCTTAATTTTCATATTTTTGCAGTGCATTCCATCATTATTATATTCTAGAAAACTTTAATGGAAAACTTCCGACAAGCAATGATTGTTAATTAACTTATTAAATGGATGCATCCAAATTGAGTTGTATAAAATGCCAAAAATTGCATAACACATTTCTATAAGTAATAATGACCTATCCATTACTTTTCTAATTTCACTCGTTTTTCTTTGTTTGCATATTTTTATTTTATCATTTTAATTTTATACATATTAATTAGTAATTTAAAAACTTCTATAACCCATTTCTTTAAATTAATTCATAATTTTGCAATAGTGAACAATTTTTTTTTGCTTATATTTTAGCATCAAAAGCACATTTCACTTATACTCATTTCACTGATAATTTAGAAACAAATCAAAAAAGATTTTTGAAATAATAAAATTCGTTGTTTTCAAAATATTTATTGTTTATTTAAAATATTTTTTTATTTTAAAATATTTGTTCTTCTTTTTCAGAACTATTTATTTTAAGAAAATCAAAATTTTAAAAGTTCAGAAAAAGCTGTTCCCTAAATATAGGTAATGGGAAGTACGCTTTACAGTGGGGGCATAGCTCAGGGGTAGAGCGCTCCGTTCGCATCGGAGAGGTCTGGGGTTCGATTCCCCATGCCTCCAGAGTTAGCAGTTTTCCTTCTAAACAAGCAAATCGTTTATTGATTCCAGATAATCCAGTAGCTGTTATCAGTTCCTAATCCCGTTTGCCGGCATATACAACCAGTTACGCCTCAATATCCTTCCTTCGATGCTGCAAGTTAAAATTCGGGATTGTTACTTTTCATACTATTACTCAAAAACATAATAGAAAATGGCTTAATTATAATATAAAAATGTATTTTTGATTTTATATTGAGTTAGTATGTCTTGAAAATGCAGCATAAGTTGATTAATTCTCGTTATATACATTTCATTTCCTTGTTTTATTGTTTTTTAACACATATTGCAAGTTTATTATCATTTAATTTATTTTATTCTAATAAGCGATAAGCAAGAAAATGAATAAATAAGAGGTAAGAAAAATGGAAGAAAAATTTTAGTTTGACATCGATAAACAATGTGATAAATTTAAAATAACGAAAATTGCATAAAGCATAAATCTGACATCATCTATAGGGTCAATCGAACATTTCAATAACAAAAATTTCCCAGAATATAATTTACATCGCATTAATCATTTTTTCTACCCTACTTATTTCGCGCATTATTTTAGTGAAATTGATTGCAATCTATAACTATATTTGTGCGCAACCTACTGATAAAATGATCAATAATTCAGTGATATGAGCAGTGCTTATCATTCGTTGATAACTTTTATATTTTGCTTCAATATAATTTTCTTATGCTAATAATATTTCTTTTATCTTATTTTCCAAACAAAAAAGAAAATATGTGGCTTTCCTTCAAATTATAATGTTGCTTTATTTGATTTTATTAATCGACGAATATTAGTTTTCAGTGAATAATATTATTTTTATAACTTAATGAATAATATAAAGAAGAAATTAGCGATGTTAAAAATGGAAAAAGCATTTATGGATAGTAATTATGCAAATGTTATTCAACTTTGATTATGTATTATAAATTTTTTTATATATCATGCACAAAATTAAAAAATGGAATAAAATATTTCCTGATAATTTTCATTAATTATCTTGCTTATCATTTTTGAACTAGGACGAAATTATAATTGAATTTCTCACTTTAAACAAATTATAATTAAATTCCTCGTTATCATGTTTTAAAATAATAGCATAAATAAAAATTCTGACCTTTAATTTCGATAATAATTATAAAAGTATAGGCGAAACGACGATGATTGCATAAAGAGCAGTTCCATAGAACCATGGTCGCATAAAAGCGAAGTTTGGTGATATCGGTACGCTGTGATCCGTGTTATGACAATAATAGTTTGAGTACCGTCATTTTCGGGGATTATTTGTTTCAAAACAAATTGCCGATTATTTTCAGGAATGGATTCTGGTGTAATTGTGGATGAAAGGATCGATTCGGACGTTTTGGCTGTATGTTGATTGTCTTTCTTATTGTTATTGCATTATCGAATTTAGAAATGATGAATACAATGTTTATAATATATTTAGTATTTTTTAAATTCCGTTCTAATAGTGATGATCATATGTTTATATCATGTTACTTTTATTTGCTGTCATTTATGTCAGTTATGAGTTTACATTGCTATATATTAGGTCATTCTGGATCTTATCAATTTACACCTGTAATTCCTTTAATTGGGCTCTTATAATTTGCATTATCTTAATTCATTTCGTTCTCGTTGAATATCCATAACTTGACTTTTTTCTTTTATGGCTTACTTACGTGATGACTGTTTTACGCTCAATTGCCAAAGCAAATATTTTGTTCATTGTTGTGTTCTAGTGATCTATCTCACACATGTTCTGTTTCGTAGATTTGAAATACTGCGAATGTACTACTTATCTGTTGATATTATTTTAGTTAACTTCAAGCACATTAAGTGAATGTGTTTTAAATAACTGGAAACACAATGAATAAAAAATTATGATGTAATTTGTTTGGAAATAATAGAAAATAGAAATGTTTATTGACTTTAGAATATTTTTGTTTCAGAACTTGGAAAAGACATATAATGAACAAGTAGCACGTGGTAGTCCAAGTGCGGTCGCAATCTATTCCTATGCTCATGGACTGATCAAATCGAGCAACACTGATGTACGGAAGGGAATTCAATTATTGGAAGGTTGTTGAATTATAAAATTTTTTCTTTCACTGTCATTTTTTTCCATAAAAATTAACTGACTTGAGCATCGTGTCATAATGCATTAGCGATAAACATGATAAGATATATGAAGATATTTTGCGGAATGTTTGGAATGTTAGATTCAGATACAACGTGCTTTAGTAGTAAAAGTTAGATAAATAATCAAACTTGATTTTCGTGGTAATCACTACTATAGTTATGCTGTTTATGTGGTTGTATCTTAATAATAGTAGAATTATTACTGTAATGCTCGAGCAATTCTGATTTAATATTGTCCAAATGTTTTTTTTTTGTTTTCCAATTAACACAATTGTTCTCGTAACTACACAATTGGCTGTAGGAAGTTTTCTTTTTCAGCAACCGAAAATTAAATCATTATTAAACTTTTTATATGTTTTAGATTTATTACGAAAAGAACTCGAGGATATTTCAAAGCGTGATTATGTATATTATCTTGCAGTGGCGCATACTCGCTTGAAAGTAAAACTTTTGCTATAGTGATTCTTTTCAAATTGATTAATTTTAGCATGAAAAATACTAAATTTCAGGAGTACGATCGAGCTCTTGCGTATATTGATGTTTTACTCAGTGCAGAGTCGAATAACCGTCAGGCATTAGATCTAAAGGATGTAATCAAGCAAAGAATGAAAAAAGGTACGCTAACATCATCCTTTTCTTTTTTTTTTTTTTAAAAACGAAAGGGATATACTAATATCACTTTTTTTGAAGAAGTACAGGTTTATTTAATAACTTGATAAAAAGTCATTTTTATTGTTGCAAATGCAATCTAAAATTTAGATGGAATCATTGGCATGGCAATATTGGGTGGAGGAATTGCTGTAATTGGCGGTTTAGCGATTGCTGCGCTTGCTGCCTCGAAAAGGTGATATTTTTGCTTTTCTAGTAAAAACTCTATTTTAAAAACTCGCAGCAGAACATAACGAGAGAGGATCAAAGTCATCACTGAATGAAAACAAACGAATAGATTGATTTTGTTGATATGTTTCATTCGTAAATTGATTATGTTCCAAGGAATTCAAATTTTGATCGGTTTTCAGAAGTTCTCATTCATAATCAGTGGTATATTATGTTAATCACTATTGCTTATTTATCGATTGCAATATTATCTTTTCAAACTATTTTTGATGTTGCTGTTCTGTACTGCTTTATCAAGTCGAAGGTTCCACGTTCTCATGTATATTGAAATTTGAATGCATGCTTACTAAATAAATTCTAACCTTAAAAGCAAATTTTTAAAAGAAAAAAGAAAAAAATGGTAAGTTGAATAATATTTTGTTGTACATTATTCAATTAAAACTGATTAATTCAAGAGTATGTTCTGTTTCCTTATGCTAATAACAGACGCCTATTCAAATAATAATTTCCGACATTTTATCCTTCTCTACTGTTTCTAGTAATTTTTAATCCAACTATTCACATATTCAAATTAAAGCATATTTGAATGTTGCTTTTCCTAGATTTCTTAAGTGCGACGAAGATAGATAACTGTGATAAAATTGATAGTGAAGTTGTAGCTGTGACAAATTATTATTTAACAAAATGTTATGAAAATAAGAACATGAAGAGAATTATACCATACTTAATATTCATGTGTTCTACAACCATTAACTGCTGTAGTTTCATTTTTTCTTTTCCTTATTTGTATTTGTTTCGGTAAATGGCATACTTTTTGTAGGTAACTTAAGTTATAGTTACAAGAATAAATGGATGCTTTGATAGGCCGTGTGTCATTCATTTATAACTGTATATGAAGTTATTGAATGATGTTTGAAATGCTTGATATTGAAACTTTGTGGAAAGTATTTCATAAGTGAAAATAAGACATTCAACTATTGAGATGATGCAGAAGCATTGAGATGATGCATTCAAAATAAGCAATGGTCGGACGAGTTGACAGCTATTGAATTAAAAAAGGTACAAAATTATTTATATAGTCAGACTAATTTGCTAATTAATTTCAACATTGATAAAAATAAAGTTATTAAAAAGTCAATTTCAATTTATTAGAAATTGAAAAAATTCGGAATTCGGCAACCTAAACCCTGGCATAATATTATTAAATAGAAATGCTATTGATTATAATACAAAAAGAAAAAAAATGACAGCAACAGTAGGCTTAGGTTGAAAAGCAGTCAAAATTTGCTTACTGGGTACTACTAGAAGAGTTCATGTTTGGTATAATATATATTATATTATCGTCACATGTATTACGGTTGAAGATTTAACCTCAAATTAAGATGCGGAGAAAATGTTCTGCAACTATTAATCATGATAACTATTCAGTTTTCTTAATGATACAATTGGGCTATTAAATGCTATGTGAAAAAAGTTTTGGTTCATGTTTTATAAATTGCTATATTATGTGATTGTATAGTTATATGTTTTTGTCTTCAATGGTCCGATAATTTTTAAAATTTTGAATTCTCAAACTTATTAATTTTTTTCAAATTCTCGATTATTTTAGTGAATGATCTGAATGACACAATATCAAATAATCTTAAAATTAATTTTTAAATCAGAAAAATGGCAAATATTGTGAAATAAGGGAAAAGTGCTTCTTCATTTTGCTTTGTTGCTTTCGTCATAACGTTTTGAGGGCGATTTTTGCTTTTACAATTATGCTTAGATCGATTAACTATCAAAGTGAACTTCATTAAAACCATTTTACTAAATGAGCTCATCTTTTCATCCATTTCAAAATTTATTTTACATTTTTAATTGACGCTTTTACAAAATGCTACATTTCAATCAGTCTTTATTATATCATAAAGTTGATTCATGGTTGATTCTCTCCATGTTCATTTTGAAAAATAAAATTGGGATTTGAGAAAGTGATGGTTGA